GGCAGTGAAGGACAGGAAGGCCTGGCGCAATATGGTTCATGGGGTAACGAAGAGTCAGACATGTCTTAACGACTGAACAACAACAACAAGAGAGAAACTATTATACCTGTTTGATGTCCAATAACAAACATCTCCGGTGGCCTTATAAAGGACCCTCTTCAGTTGTATGACTTTGCCTGCCTGCTTAAATTATCCTTGGAGACCCCTTGCAACTTCTATCTGGTTGAGGTGCTGAGGAATTCTAGGGACGTTCTCTGGCTCATTTGTATTCTCAGTGATCTTCTATCTGGGTTGGAGTAACAGGCTTCTGAGATGGCAAATGGGCTAAAACTGTCATGCTTTTATGAAGTCTAGTATTGAATAGAGCACAGTGTTGCTTGGAGTGAATGGCAAGTTTTATGTTTATCGTAGGAATCGCCACTCTTAAAATGCAAGATGTATAAAAGCCCATAATATCTTAGCAGAATTGCAGCAGGAGACCTGACCTGTGATGCAATACACTCTGCAGAAAATACAACTATATGGAAACACACACACCCATCCACCCCCCCACCCCCACATGCATAGACGCTCAACTTCATTTTGGACTGTTTCATTTGCAGTGATCAAGTACCGAGTGACTGTGTGTACCGGGACAGTGAGTGGAAGCGGGACTGATGCCAATGTTTTTGTTTGTCTCATCGGGCAGCATGGAGACACAGGGGACCGGGTGCTCCAGAACAGTGTGAACACTGTTAATAAGTTTGAGAAAGGCAGTGTAAGTCTCTCTCTCTTTCTGTATTTGCTTAAAAACACAGCTGCATACCTTGGGGGGCCGCATCTTCCACAGGTCAGATCAGCATTGGGCAGGGCTACAGCCAAAAATGGACTGGGTGACTGATCTCCCTTGCTCAGATACCCACTCCTCTTTCTTGTTCCTCTTCTTTTCCTTTCCACCCAACAAGCTTCTTCCAGGAGGGTCCGGTGACTGCTTGCTTGCAGACATTTTGAAATTACACTGAGACTATCCAGGCATCCCAAGGGAGCCTTCCAAATTAACTTTGTAAATAACAATTGGATTGTAATTTCTGTTGTGTGGAAGATGCACATCTAAAAACTGCCTGAGTGGCATTTGGATGACCCCTGACTAGCGAACAAGGGAGTGGGACTTGTTTCTACTTCTGGACAGCCATAGGAGGCATTTTTTAATTCTCCCTGGGACAGCTTTCACTGCTTCTCAACATGCGAAATGGTCCTTTTTTGAAATTGTTACTGCAATGAAATTGAATGGGATGACCAACTTGTTTTTTTTTTAACCTGGTGGCCAGTTTTCTATTTCTTCCCTGCTTGGGGGCTACAAAAGATGGCTGGTGAGATCACCAGAGTAGGATGGGAGAGAGGTTGGGAGGTCAAAGAGCAAAACCCATGCCTTCGCCTTGCAGACTTAAGTCACCCATTTTACTCTGTCAGCCTTACCAGATAGACCAGACAGGAAACATGCCCAGATGAGCTAATCCTACTTTATTGTAAAGCTACATTAACAGAATCTTGCAAGTCTGAAAGTACAGTTCTCCCACTGTCACCCTTATAGCCTGAAAAGTTAAGGAGGGTCCCTTCTGAGCCTCTTTCTCCATCCTTTATGCAGCTGTAGGCTATGCTGTCTCTTATCTGACTGTTCTCTTGGCAGCATCTCTTCACCCCATCTCCCAAGGTCTTTCTCACATATCATTACATTAACCCAGGAAAATCAACCCCATATGGGGGGACTGGGTTTTCTAAAGGGTTCTGTTAGCCTTAAGGCTATCTATCTTGTCCCTTAAACCCCATAAAACTCTCCCTCCAAAAGGTCTGAAAACATTGGTCCCATGGACTCTGAGGGTGCTGGGTATGGCATGTGGGCTTTTAAAATTAATAAAATCTTTGCTATTTTAAATAGATTTTAACATAACCAAAGAATATGGGGAATTGGAAGGGGGAAGAGTTAGTGCAGAGATGTTTTGTGTCATTTACCCCAAATACAACAGTTTCTGAAGGGCCAAGCCACAAAAAATGATTGGGTTCACACATCCGAGAAATCCATGATGTGTTTTGTTTGTGTTTGGCTAAATATGCTGTGCAAATCAGCCACTGTAGTTTCTAAATCATGGTTTACAGTGGAAGTGCAATATCTGAGAACCTTGGGCTGACATACAGCTCCACAAAAACTTCTGAAGGTTGTTATCCAGTTACAATTTTCAGTTGAGTAGAAGAGGGAAATTATTATACAGGCAGAAGAGTAATTATTTTAACTATATTTATTTTAAAAATTGGCTTAATTAAATTTAAATGGAAATTAGATGAAATTAAATTTAGCTTTTTTTCCCCCTGGGCCCATCTACTGTTACCTGGAGTGTAGCCCCAACATGATACTCAGTTTAAGGGGTAAAATGGCTTTATTAAGCCTTGCAGGTGATTTAGGTACTCACTTTGCTTAGTAGTGATTGTGAAATGGGCCCTGATCCTAACCACACATGGATAACACCTGTCTCTGTGTCATATGGACCCTGCTGTGGCCATCAGATGGTGTGCAGCCCTGTTGTAATTGATGGATGAAACAGAGAAACAATGCAAAAACGTCTGCAATGTTATCCATCCAACTGAAGAAAGAATGTCCCAGGTCGCTTATAAATAACTTCCACGCAGGCTTGTCTTAGGAGAGGTGCATTTGAAAGGGTGGAAATCAAATGGAAAGGCACTCCCGTTCTTGTAACTTTAAACTTCCTGGAAAAGGACATATCTATATTGAGACTTTCTATGTGATAGCCTTCTGTTGGCAGAATTTTTTGGTTTTCTCTAGACCATGAAATGGATGTGCAAATATGCTGTAACTGGTTGTAATTGGTTGCTTTTAATTTATCTTTTATCTGCTTTTAGCTCTATATTCTATCGTTTTTACTGCTCTGTATTCTATTGTTGTTATTGCTGTTGTTTTTACTGTATTTGTTATATTGCTGTAGCTGTTACTCCTTACTTCAAAATGGCTAAACGTTTTCCTTTTGTCTCCAGCACAGGGAGGGGATGGACATATCTGCTTTTTTCTATGTGAAAGAAAGCATTTAGTGGAAATTTTGAATCTGGCAAGCAGTTTGCAATATTGTGAATGCCTGGCAAACAGGCACCTTATCACAACTTGTTTCTGAAATGATTTAAATCAAACCATCTCCAAAGCTAGAGTACAGATGTATCTTCCTCTATGTAGCATATTTAACAATTACATTCTATATAGACTGAAATAAGCCACTCTGTTGCTTTAGGATTCTCTCATTCTTCATTCTATTTACTGCTAATTTTCAGGGCACAAAATAATTATGTATGTTATTCAAGTTCATTGCTGTACTCTAGTTACTATTATTAATATAATTTTACATTGTATTTTAAAAGACTTTAAAATGCGTTGCTTTTGTGCTTGCCCTCCCAACATCCCTTGGGAATAGGCTCTTATGCTACCCATTTCACAGATGGTAGAAGTGAGGAAGCTCAGCTGTTTAAGGCAAGTCAATGAACTTTTTCCTTGATCCTCATCCACCTCTTTAGCCGTCTAGACAGTGCCTGTGGAGCTTGACCCTTCTGCCTACCATTTTAACGCTTTCTTCTTTCTTTCCATCAAGGCTGATGAATTCATCATTGAAGCAGTCCACCTGAAGCAGGTGAGCAGGGTGAGAATAGGGCATGACGGCAAAGGAGGAAGCAGTGGCTGGTACCTTGCCAAAGTGATAGTGAGGGAAGATGGACAACCAGAAAGTGAAGCTCAAGAATTCCCATGCTACAGGTATAGAACGGATGAGGATCTGCTGAGGTACTAGGCCATTCAGCCAGGTGTCCAAGACTAGTGCCTGCTAGCCACAACATACTCCCTTGGCTTATGTAGATAGAGATCATTATTGTATAAGACCCAACATTAAAACCTTATTGTAGGGCTATAGTGGGTATGCAACCGAAATCAGCCATCTGAGGGTAACAGTAGCCCTCAAGAGAGTGCTCCAACCTCATACCAACAAATAAAAATCAATCTCGGACCATTAAAGAGAAACAATGAATGTTTGGAGGGTCACATCAAACTTCTTCAATGTGATTTATATATGCTACAGAATGAGGTGGGCGAAGGCTGAAATGAGAGAGCTATATCATATCAAGCTGGAATGGCAAAGCAGTTGATGTTTGATCCATGACACTTCTGGATCAGAAGGTCTACCTTATTATAAGATTCTTTTAACAACTAATCTACACAAAAATGCATGGTGAGAACATGTTTAAGTTCTTATCAATGCATTTTCCCTCAAAGAATGAGCTGTGAAAGCATTTTGATTCCTTTTTGAGTTCAGAATAATGTCAGATGGTTAAGGAAATGGAAAAGCTGATCAGTTTCAAAGTTTCACATGGGGCATTAGTCCAGTGGTACTAATCAGGTCTGTGAGTGTTGGAGCCCATAAATACTGTAGGTTACTGCACTTCGGGGCTAACATTTGTGAAAAAATATTCCATATATGTACAAACTTATCATTAGACTGTCCTGATGACATAAAGTCTGAACCAAGCATGGAACAAGATCATTCAGAATATATTTTTAACACACTCAAATATCTAAATTGTCCTGTCCTGTCATGACTCAGATTTCTCCATGGAGATTCACTTCAGCATCTAGTCCAGTGGCACAATGCATTTGATGCCCCCCCCCCCCAAATGGGAGTAGGGAGGAATTAAAACTCTTTTGGAGTTGTTTGGTAGGAAGAGAAACATACTATTGCATTCAGGGACCGATAGATCCCTTTTATAGTAGTGCTTTTGATCAGTCATCCAAATGTTTGGGATGTGTGGTGAGGTTGTGAGGAATGAACAGATATTTGCTGTCACAACAAACACAGTTCACTGTTGGCCAGACTCTCCTTTTCAGCACTTCTATATATACCCCTACTTTCTCTTGCAAACAAGCAACTATTTCTTTCTTTTTTTTTTAATGAATCACCCTTATTTCCATTCTCATCCTCCTTCAGTTCATTTGTTGTCACACTTTCTGATTCTATCCTATCCATTCCTTTCCTCCCACACTTTCAGAATATGTATCTTATAGACCAATCTTTTATTTTGCTGGACAATAATTGTTCACTCGTGCTATTTTTTACTTAAATTCCCTCCTTTATTCTTTTATCCCTTTACAGACCATTTGTTAATTAGCTTCCACTTAAAATTAGAGTTGCAATTTGTCAAATTGCCAATGATACCAAACTGTTTATCTTTCTGTCTTTTGTCCTCATCAATAAGTTTTCTACACAACCTCCCCATTCTATTTTTCCTCACTGATATGTGTGTGAGAGAGAACGTGCATGTGTGTGTGTGTCTGTGTATTAGTTAGGGTGAATAGAGAAGTCAAGGGTGGAGAGGAATCATGGATTGATCAAATTGCACTGCAATTTGAGACACCTCTGAAATAGAACAAGTGACTTAGGTCAAAAGCCTACAATTCAAAAACTCCTCCTCTTGTATCTATGGGTTTTTAAGTCATGCTTCATCCCCTCATAATGATTTAACTCTCCTACAAATTTAACCCCTTCAGATAGGAACAAATAAGTTGCCTATGTTTTTCCCATGCTATATCATAGAAGGACAGAGGTCCACTTTTTCTGAGTCACACTTAAGAACGGGGAATGAGTTGGGACAGGAGAGCTGTGTGGCTAGCAAATAACGGTTTAGGTTATATCTGGAACCAAAGATCTGGCTTTGAAGCAGGCGATCATTGCATGGTGGTAGTAGAGACATAGCATCCCTGGAAAAAAATGGAGTTAAAATGTTTCTCCAACATTTTTTTTAATCTGTAAAGAAGTTTTATTTTTTTTTAATGTCAAGGGGCATTTAAAACTTGGAATTCTCTACCATCTGCATTCAGCTTCAGCAGTCTACCACCTCTGTCCCTACTTCATTCTCCAGCAATATATAGATTAGAATGGCATTCTTACTTTATGCTACTCCAGAGAATAGGATTCCAAAACCAAGAGGTTCCAATCATAAGAAAAAGGAAGGTTAAACCAAGAAAACTCCTGAAGATTCCTTGATATTTTCTTCCACAAATTGAAAAAAATGTATTTACCCCAAAGGAAGATAACCCTGAATTCAAGACCAACCTACCCTCCCAAATAAGATTAGATGGAGAAGCAAATTTGTTTCCCTTACCATATTCTCAGTGAATCTCAGATGACTTTCCCATTTTAAAACTAATTACTGGGGGAAACTAATCTTCAATTCAGATGCATGCAGTTTAACTGTCTCCTTAGACACTTTTTTTTAAAAAAGTGGCATTAATTCCTGTCTCCCATCCAGTATTATGGACATGCAAACCAAATGGCAAGGTAAGCCATAATTTGGTCATTTTTTCCTGTCTCATCTGACATGAGCATCAGTTAGCATTTTTCCTTCGCATTATGGCTGCGTCAACTTCTAAACTACAAAAAGGGAATCCTCTGATCATAAAAACTGATGCATGGCCCTAAATTTCAAACATCCTCTTCCCACTTTGCAGAGTGGATTCTTCTTCAAACAGGGCTGTTCTTAAAAAGACCCATTCCTTAGTATGTATTTCCTCAATCTGCTATTCCTGACGTTGCTTGAATGAGTGGGATGCTCACACTCCTTTTGTAACCATACTTTTAGGGATAGAGTATGGTGAATTATGCCCTCTACCATTCCCCCTAAAATTTGAGTACCATACCACTTTATGTATAGGGAACTGGGTTTCAGTGCTCTGGAAGAAAAGATAGAACAGGTTTATGGTGAATGCAGATGATCTTTTTAATCTCAGTTGTTGTTGTCACTGTAAAATAACGATATTCTAACTTAATTTGGGGCCATCGTTATGGGTTGGAGAGATTAGAAAATACAGATGTGCTGCCTCTCTTCCCATGTGCAGAATGGGAGAGACTGTAATTCATATCACCAGCCCCCTTTTTTGCCTCTGAGAAAAATGTCCTTTGCTGTTCTCATACCTCCATTATCTCAGCCTTCCAGATATACAATCACATGACAGCCTGCAGAGGAAGCAGCCAACCCAGTAGTGACTCCTGTAGTTCCCTGTCAAGATGGCTGCCTTCCGTCTGTAGGTTGCATCATGGACTCCTAAGACAAGACAAAGGTGCAAGCCAGCTGCATCCTCCATTATGAAGGAAAGCAGACATCTCCATGACCTGTAGATTTCGGATGACACCCATTCCAGGCCTGCTGGTCAAGGAGACTTCCGATTTCTTTATGGTTTTGAAAAGCATAATCTTGATCCACGATGATGTGACACATTGACCTTGAATATGGTTGATGTAAATGCTAAATCTACCACAAGTATGCTGCTGAAAACAGCATTCTTGTGGACAGCAGTCCTAGGTTTTCATTTGAATTAAGAATCACTAAATTGGAAAATGGACTCTCTTTGGAAGAAGGGTGAAGAGGAGATATATTTATTCCATTTGAGATGGTGGAGATGTTATTTTATTAAGAATCCATTATTCTTGATCTGTTTCCATCAATATTCAGAATTGAATACTTGATTGACCCAATAAGATTTGACCAGTTGATTGATTCAAGGTTGCCACATATTGTCAAAAATGATCAAAGCAATATGGTAAAATGTTGCTATACCATATATTATCAAACAGTGACCCTGAAGCATTAACTTTATTGCAGTACAGCTATTTCAACCACTATCTTCAATCTAAGACCAGTTCTTCACAGGAACATTATAGGCAGACTGTCAGATTCGGAGTGATACTCTTTAATACCTGCAGGCTCAGGATTATGGGAGAGGATATCCAACACACCTAGAGGACCTTAAATTGAGGCAACAATATTCCCTATTGATTATTACAGGGTTCTATGCCACCTCTTGGACATTCTTGTAATTATATTCCTGTTTATTTCCTTCAAAACTAGGAAGTAAACAATCCTGTCGGTGCTAACAAAAAGCAAAAATCAATACAATGAGATTTTGCAACCTGTACAGCACAATAACATTTTACTGAACATGGCCAGATTACATGCATCCTGCCTTAAGTTCCTTCTTTCTAGTTCCTTTTGTCACCATGTGAAATTTCTTCTTAATGCGCCTTCAGTGTCTCTAATCAATGATGGTCAGAGAATTGTATGTCCAGTTGTAAAACTTTCCTCAGTGGATATTCAGCTACAATGGTATGACAAATAGCAGCTGTTCTGTTTACACAAAATGTTCAGTATTCAGCAAAAAACATTTTGATGCAGTCCACTTAGTATGAAATTATTCTTGCTTAGTGTCAGAAACATCAACTAGTTACATCAGCAGCTGCAGGAAAAATTGTCTACAAAAGCAGCAGAATTTGTTAGTAATTGGTAACTGAGCAGAATTGTTGACAACCATCTTGAAATGCTTGTTTTGAATCCAAAAACCCGTCAAAGGGGCAGTGGAGTCAAGGATATCTTGGAGAGCTTGTGACTGAAGTGACAGCAGACAAGCATCAGGAACTCTTCACCAGTGTAGTAACTTAATCTCTAGTCATTAGATCCTACTTCTGGAATAGGGGTTCTGTGCATCAAAAAGGATTGCAAAACACAGGTACTCAGGCCCCGGTTGGGGGAAGGTGGAAGGAAAGCAATTCTTCAAAGACTTCCATTCTTAAAACACATGGTGATTTTTGTCTTTTTTTCACAGACTTTCCTTACACCCTTCCCCTGTTTCCATTCAGCTGAATCAATCTTCTCCAATTTGTTAACGGTTCTATACTTATTATCAGCCTCGTTTCTAAGGTGCAGAAGGTTCCTTCTTATTTCTTTCTGACATAAGATCTATCACTTGCCATAGCCAAGGATTATCATCCTTAATTAGTGCTGAACTAAAGTGATGGGGAAACTATGTTTCTTCTGAAGTGATTTTTTTTAATGCTAGTTTGCACATCAGTATTACGTTTCAGTGGAAGACAGAAAATGCCATTGCTTAAGCAAACATGTTAATTGCCCTGGTCTGTAGTTGGTTAAATGGTATAGAATTAATCTTTAAGTACTATGGTCTACATCTTTCAACTTCCCTTTTTTATTTTTAAAATAGTTTTTATTAAAAGATTTTACATATATAATAA